TATGAGCGTTTGCACGCTTTTCTCAAAAAGGCTATATCCCAACCGTAACTTATATGGGTATAGATCAACAGCTCATTCTACACTGCCAACATTCGGCCAAGTGCCAGCCTCGTTTATAGATATTTGTTTCAACGACGACAGTCATATAGATATACTACATTCGTAAATACGTAAAAATATTTATATAAACATAGTTTCTTACACTGCATATCTATCATCTGTATGTCTATTCTTCTGCAGTTATGAATTTCCTTGATTGATAGTCGTTATAACCAAAAAACTTTTCCCGATATAATTTGGTTTGAAAAGTCTAGAAAAATAAGTTTTTTTAGCATTTTAAATTTGACGACAAAACGGTGTCAAACGGATTGACGAGTTTGCAGGTTATTATAATTCTGGTTTGAATTTTTATTGAACAGTTAATAACTTTTGTAGATTTGATAATTGGATAATGTCACTTATATAATCTTCTATATACTATTTCATTTTCATTTTTTGTTTAGGTTTAGCACTTATATACTTTTGACTGTCAGCCTGTTTTTGTGATGGATTCTGCACCCGAGGAAGCAGCAAAGTCCATCCATATATTTAACGCCTTCAAAGAAGAAAACAGATATTTCGACGATGGCTTTTTTACGTTTACAAGCACGGAACAGGTAAATTTGTTTTTGCGCCAGACGTCTTAATAGATTAAGTTTTTTTCTTTCTAGATTATTTTTTTCCTTTCTGGCTCTCCTCGACTTTCTTCCTTCACGTATTCTTTTCTTCCTGCTGCTGCTAATTTTTGATGTTATTTCTTTGAACAGAGTTCTGGCTCTGAAAAAAGTTACAAAAGTTTTTTTATGCTCGTTGTTTTAATATTTTGTCGGGAATTTTAGAAGAGAGTAGAAGACTTAATTGCTCAGGAATGCATGAAGTTTCATGATGAATTTATGGATTCACCAGAAGACGATGCACCGTTTGCGCCTGTGTTGTGGAGGACATTACATAGTCATTACTTAATGAATAATCTGAGAGAATTTGGGAGAGGTGGAATGGTGCATATTCTGCTGTCTTTCTTTTAATAATTGATAATGCTTATCTATTGCTTTTTAGGCAAGATTTGCATAGACTACTTTCAGAAAGCTGCTTGTTAGTAAGGCTGTAGTTTCCAAAGAGTGAAAAGTAAAATTTCTGGCGTTGGCCACCTTTGAACTCAAATTATAAAAGTGTTAGCTTAAATTTACATCAGTGCTTAGTATCATTTGACTTGGCCGCGGAGCTTCTAACTATTTTGGTAGTTTAAAGGTTTTGAGTTTAGAGGTTGAAGCTGGGATTTTAATTGTCTAATACTCGTGATGCTTTTTAGAGCCTTTGGGCTTCAAAACCATGGATTTGTTATTGGGGACTCCATAGTTTGCGACTTCTAGAAGCTGAGTCCGATGAGGATTTGTATAGTGCGTAAGTTTAAACCTCCATTTATACAAGGCCATCTATACAGTCAGCATAGGGGGCTGAAATATCGTCAGAAGTTTAATCAAAATTCATTTTTAGACGTAAATTAGACGTTATGGGAACTTTTTATTTAGAATTTCAGAGTAGTACGATTTTTGAAAACTTGCGAAGCTCCTGGGGGCGGATACGGAGGTTCGAATTTCTCTGGTTTTTTTCATCTAGTGTTTTGTGAAAAAACATCAGTCGTATTGAAGGATTTCTGTTTAGGTGGCGCTGGACAGATGGCTCATTTGGCAACAACTTATGGGGCTGTAATGGCACTTGTCAGCATAGGGACAGTAGAGGCACTTTCTAGCATAAACAGGTTGGTTTATGTTATCTCTATAAATGTTTTCTGTTTGAGTATTGACACTGATGAGGTTTATAAACCCTCACGTTTATTAGTATTGATTTAAATATTAGGAAGTTGATCTTTAGAGAAACGAGGAGTGATTGTGAAACTTTTATGGTTTCAGTTACGTTGCTTATTATACTCAAGCGTGTGTAGCAGTCATAATCTGTGATTAGAATTTTTTGCTTATTATAGACATAGTGAGTCTCCAACATTTTTTAGGAAAACTTTGAAACAGTTTTTGAAAGAAATGAAACAACCAGACGGGAGCTTCAAGTTACATCGAGATGGGGAGATTGATATTCGAGGCATTTATTGTGCGCTTGCAGTGGCTTCAATTACTAACATTCTCGATGAAGAATTGGCTGCTAATGCTGAAAGTTGGTTAATTAGGTATATATTTTGACTATTTTAGTTTTTCAAAATATGTTCCTGATTCTCAAAATATTTTTGGTTTGTTTCAGCTGTCAGACTTATGAAGGAGGATTTGGAGGAGAAAAAAGTTGTGAAGCACATGGTGGCTACACATTCTGTAGTGTTGCTTCACTTACAATTCTTGGTAAAACGGCTTTAATCCATATTCCATCATTACTGAAATGGCTAACCAGCAAGCAAATGAAATTCGAAGGTGGTTTCCAGGTCTGAAAATAAATATTAATTAGTGATAATTTTATGCGGAAGTTCCATGGCTCACTTTAGGGTCGGACTAACAAACTGGTCGATGGCTGTTATAGCTTCTGGCAAGCAGCTGTTTTTCCAATGATTGAAATCATTTTAAAGAGTTCTGGTGTAGAAGTAGATCAGTTGTTTGATGCCCAGGCACTTCAGGAGTTTATCCTCATTTCCTGTCAAGATAAATATTTAGGAGGTTTGAGAGACAAACCTGATAAGTAAGCATTATCTACAATTTAAAACTGTTTTTTTTTAGTGTCAATCTACTTTTAGTTAGTTTTGTAATGAAAATAATTCTAAGACATTTGAAGAAGCTCATTTTCTGTTTAAATTTACTTTTTTTGCTTTTTTTCAAGTTTATGCTATTTTCTCCACAGTTATTTATTTCTTTTGGGAAAATTGCCATTTGTTTTCTGACAATAGCATGTGGTTTTAGTCGGGGTTGGTTTTTTCTCATTTTAAGCTGTCACGTGTACTTTTTAGGCCAAAAGATGTGTATCATACCTGCTATACATTAAGTGGTCTTTCTGTCGCACAAGACTATACTCCAGATAACGTAGTAGGTGGCACTGCAAATCGCTTGGTACTATTTTTTCCACTTTTATTATAACTGTGATGTAAATAGTAGGTAAAAGTTATTATTTAACTTTTCTTGTGACTGTTCAACAAAGCGGTGGTTTCCGTAAAATTATCATATCTTTCTGCTTCGGTGTTTGTTAAATTCATGATTTACAGGCTCGGGTTTCTCCAGTCTATAATGTCACTTTAGAGGCATTGAAGACTGCCAATGAATTTTTCCGGACTCCTTAGACAATGTGAATATCGTCATTTTTTCTTCGGCAATGTTTCTGGTCAAATGTATCCAAATCATATCACACATTAAGTTTATTTTACTTCGGTCTTAACTAGTAGAGTGGTTTTTTATATCCTAGTTTTATTAGCTTTCTTGCAGAGCTATCATATTGATAAGGATAACAGAGAGTGAGTAAACTTGATGTGTAAACTTGCTTGCCATTTAAGTGTTATTGTTGTTGTTGTCGTTATTGTTATAATACAGCTGAACTCCTTAATTTTGCACGGGTTCTCTGGTGCCTGATCGAAGAACTCTTTTATTTCCTTTAATAGTTCTAAAAAAATTTCTTGCTTTAAAAAAGTCTCAGGCATTAATTTTTGACATAAAATGAAGTTTGGCGTACTTTTTTATTTCTGTCTTACACGTTCACCTACGTCTGAAACACTTTTTATAATGTTGAGATGTTAGCATTTTGAACCAACTGTACAATTCAGATTCTTAATGTATGTACTTTTAGCAATCTTGATTTACTCTCATGAATATGAAATCTGCCATTCTTTTCCAGTTATTGTATATTCAGTACGTTCTTCTGCGTAATCTATTCACAGCCACCTTAGATGACCAGCAGTTTAGACAACACTGCTTCTTTTAAACATAAATCAATTAAAACAATCGCGGTGCAGTTACAGATTTTAAAACCCTGGCAAATTCAACAGGGCCTTGTATATGCAATCAATTTTTCTTTGCAAAGCACATTGAATAAAATTATTTTCGATCAACCTTGTAAATTTTCAAAGTTCTGCTCACTGACAGAACCTGACTTAATTTTTAGAAGGCAGAGGAGGGCACTTAAAAAGGCCGATTCTCTGTCAAGTTATATGTAACTCTGTCAAAATTCTATAACTGTCATTTTTTTTTATTTCAAACACCTTTAAAATACTGCTGCTTTCTTGTCTGTAAGTAAAAATAGCTAATTTTTTTCAAAGGAAGCATGGCTTGTAGGTTTGGGACCCTCTACATAATAACCACTTTCAAGCACAGTATGGTAAAAAATTTACAAAGTAAAACTTCTAAGTGTATGGCAGAAAAAATAGTTCAGATGATTTTATGTAGAATTTTCTGGTCTACAGAAATACTATAAATGTGGCAAATTCTGGGCTTCATTATGGCAACTATTTAAATGAGAAAAATGATATAGTCACATTGTTTGGAACAAATTAACAAAGTAAAACTACTCTTTGTTTCACTGCATGCAGTTTCAACAGCAGTTATCAAAACCAAAAATGCTTAACTGTTTGTTATATTTAGTAATGAAAGAAATCTTTTTGATGAAAGGACAAAAAGCACAAAGATAAAAGAGAAATAATTGTACAGAAAATTAGACGACGAACGATATACTTAAAGATATGCTTTAAAGACATTTTAACGGCTTGCCTGAAATAATCTTTCGATGCAACGTCTGATCAATAAATTAACTATTTTTATGCGCAGTTTGTCTAAAAGGATCAGTGCTTAAGATACGTCCTTATCAAAAGTAAACTAAAAAAATAGCAATTAATAAACGAAAATTGTTAATAAATCAGACTGTAATAAAACGCTGCTTCTCTCAGCAGTAATTAATTTTTTACCTGTATGTTTTTTCGTTTAATTATGGGCATTATATCTAAAAGCGGATTCGATGTGAAGAATTTGATTGGCAGATTAAACTTTGTTGCTACCAAAATGGTAAAACCACTTTCTTTCGTGGAACGGAAATCTGCATTATCAGCTGGTAAACTGCGAGCAATTTCTTGATTGTTTTTGATTATTAAATGATAATAATACAGGATTAGAAGATTAAGGAATATTCTTTAATTGGAATTACCAACGATTCTTTTACTGACAACCCAACTGCTACTTTAGCCTGTCTGACTTGTACAGTAAAAAACCGATGAGCTTCACTAACAGCAGTTTTTTGCCCAGTTTCTTGAAGCTGTTAGGAAAATAGTAATATTTTTTACTCAATTTCATCTTTCAAAACCATTGTCACTCGAACTAGAATTCGTGTTATAGACTAGGAATGCATAACAGCGGGACTCTTTATCACTGGGAAGCAAAGGTCTGTAGGTTTCGCGAATTGAAGAGGTACACACGGAATTACTAGGCAGCAGCGATGTCTTATTGCATGGAGAACCTATATTAGACTACAGCTGAGGTTTTGGTGTAGTGTGTCCTGAGTTTACTGGTGCGTGGAGAAGAAGATGAAATTTTATCACAGCAAACACCGTAATGTAACCTACCGCACAGTATCTTCTTATTTTATACTTACCTACTACATGCATAAAGTAAAAAAAGAAGTGGACTGTATGCATAGAGATAAAACAAGAAAACGTTTCAGCAATTATTTTTCTTTCTTCTGTGTTTTACTGATGCAGTGCATCCAACTTTATTCTTTCTTGCCACACCTTCATTTGACTGTCAACCCGCTATAACGTCATTAAAAATTGAACAAGTGTAAAAATGAACGGTAGAAAAAAAAAATATGATTTGCAGCTGAACTGATAATAAACAACAAGACAATCATCAGAGAAACGTTACGAAGAAGTTTGTTTCAAATAAGCTTTGTGGCGGAGGTGTACTTTGCATCTGCCCTAAAACGTCCCTTTTTTTACTTTTACAACGTAAAATTTCAGAAGAAAAAAGAAAAAGATGAAAATCGTTCCTAGTACAGAGCGAGAGAAATAAAAACGATCTACTGGACTTCTGTGACTGTGTAAGGAAAAAACTTTGTATCATTAAAGCGTAACGGAATTGATCTTTTCAACGAATAATTATTTTCAGCTTCGTGTCCGTTGTAACTCGCTATGAAGAAAAAAAACTTTGCTATAAAGACGAGTTATCAGGTATGTCCAAGAAACTGGAGGAGGAACGGCATTTGATAGAAAAACGTTCTGAAACTCATTAAGTTAGTTACCTAACTATGCCACGTTGACACTCGAAGAGAAACTCGACCATATCGAAGTAGTGCTTTTCTCGAGCACTGTCAAGTGCTGTCTTCTGAAAGAGTAAAGTAATAGTATTTTCAGCTGCCCTTGCTGATTTAGGTAGCAGGCTGTAATTTATAAAACGGAAAATTATATAATTCGGTTAAATTTGAAACCACACCACAACCCAGACACTAAATTCTCACCATGTTGTAAATTTTTTTTCGCTCAATTAAATCTTTTTTACACTTTGTGTTTCGCAAAATGCTTAAGTAGATTTGAACTACGCAGTTCAGAACGAAAAGTAGCATTAAACATTGAAAATACGGTAAGAACAATATCAGTTTTAGAAATAGCTTCTAGACAAAGCGAAAAAGTAGTTTTTGATCGCTTCTCAAAATTCTCTATCGTTACAACACTTTACATCTCACTTACCCCATTTATGAATTTTCTTATACATTTTAAAACGAGTTTTTACAGGTTGCCTGAGAATGATTGAATGTTTTTCTTGACGGAAAAGTTAAGTAGCAGTGCAGTTACTAAACTCAGAGAGAAGAAGACAAGGGCAAATAGAGGCAAAAGCTGCTTGTTTAGACAAGCTGTTTCTTTCTTTTCTCAGTTCTTATAATTCAAACTTTACAAAAAGGTGGAATTTTTTCATAAGAACAACAAATGCTGAGGGAAACTTAGTATTCATCTCAAAATTCTACTACCTGTGAACTATTTTTAGCACTGGTATCTGATTTGTTTTCCACCGAAAATTTGACCATTTGAAGATTGCTTTTTTTGGCTGCAATGCGCAGTGGAGTGTTCTGAAAAAATCAAAACAGTACTTTTTAAAAACTTTTCTCACGTTTTTAAGTTTTCTTTTAACATTTTTTCCAAAACAAATGTCAAATTCTTTCGTATCATTTTTTTTTTTTTTTTTTTTTTTT